AGAATGTCCACACCTTTATCTCCGTGGTTCTGCCAGGCATCCGTGGCTGCTCTAATCCTTCTCCTGCTTGGTCTCACCCAAGATGGTGGCTCCTGGAGCAGCTGAGCCTCTTGAATTAGAAAGCAATGGATTTCTTGCTTCAGCTACAAATTCCCCTAGCTGTAAGCCTTCCAACCTTCTAAATATTCCATTATATGTGGTTCAGAGTTCTGGGACCATCCCCTGAAACTGCTCGGTCCAGTATTCTGTGTTGTTACTGACAGAGCTCCTCACTGCACGTCTACCCAATCCGCCATTTTGTTTGTTCTCCAATACCACATCTTTAATGATATAAATATTATTGTTGTTGTTGTTAAGTGCCACTGAGTTGGTTCTGACCCACAGCAACCCTGTATAGGGTTTCTGAGGAGCAGCTGGTGAGCTTGAACTGCTGACCTTGCCGTTCAAATGGCTTTGCAGTCTGGTGCATTAACCCACAGCACCACACCAGGACTCCATATATTATTATACAGACTCTTTATTCAGTAAACACAAGATAAAGAGAAATGTAGATCACCTGGGGGAGGGAAATCATAAAGACCATGATGAGTTTCCAAATTTCTGTGTCTACGTGGTGACTTTTTATGGAGCACAGAGAACAGAGGCATCTCCTCCCACAACCATGCCTGAGTGTAGAAGCCCTGCATCACCCAGGGATTATAGAAAGCAGGGAGGGCTGACTGCAGACAGGAGAGCTTACAGTCTGAGGTTCTCCGGGGATTTGACATCACAGCTAAGCAACCATTAAGGGGTGTGTCCAGCAAAGTTCTGTGAAGGCTGCCTGGAGAAAGTGGTCCCGAACTTACTTTAAATATACTGTTTTTAACTCTGAAAGTTCAGCTGTCAGATGTGTGTGAGGTATTCAAGAAAAATTGGCATCTGAATGCCTAAACCTAGGCACAAGATGGAATGGAGTTCTGCTAGGCTGGAGTTCTTCACAGGCAATAAGCCTTCTCATTTCATGTTCTGCAGCAGTAGCAAGAGCTGTCCTGTGAGAATTTCATTGAGAAACCATTCCCCATCCACCCTCTCGTTCTGATTTTGCACCTTCAGACTTTCTTTTGTTCCCCAAACTCAAAGAACATTTCAAAAGAACATGATTTGGGTCCCTTGAGGATGCCCAAACCACTGTTTCGATGTGGTATAAATGAAGCAAAGATGAAAACACTGTGTTCAGAAGTATATAGGCCTCATGTTTTGATATTTTTGTTTAATAAAGTTTCTATGATTTTGTAAGAGTACTTTTTTACTTACTCTTATATGTATATATGGTATATTCTGACCATAATATTTATAAACTGTGGAGTGAAATGTCATTGAACTTCTAAATCTTTGAAAGATTTCGGCAGTGCAACAGGTTTCTTTATATATGGCTTTTCTGCCCCTAGATTTCCAGTTTTCCCAATATGATTTGCCAGTGTCCATTCTTGCAAAGGGATTGGATAGTTTAGTATGCAAACAAGATGCATCAAGTCCTTGCAAAGACTGAACAATGCAAATAAGGTGGATCAAACCCTTGCAGGGATTGGACTGTGTACTATGCAAATAAGGTGTCTGTGACTTACTGAGGGGATGGGTGCATTTGTGGTCTTAGTGGGAGGAGTAAACACCAATCCCACAAAGGCTGAGGGGGACCTCACTACCACCAAGAAGAAAAACCTGAGCGGATCCAGGGTCCCTGTGCGGAGAACCCCCTAGACCTAGGAGACAGAGCTGTAACACCGGGGATGGGGCAATATGGCATGAGACACAGCAAGACAGTACAAATGGCAAGAACCAAGAGACTAGCAGAAGCTGAATACAGTGGGCTCACAGAAGGCGGGAACTGTAATGAGCTTGTTGCCCTACAGTGCCTAAGTATCTTTAGGCAGGAGGCTTGCTGGTGCAGTGGGGGGGCCTCTGACACATCACAGTGGAGTCAAAACATCTGGTAACACTTGCCCAAGCAGGGTCCAGCAACAGAGCCCAGGCCTAAGTGGGGACCAGGGGCAGAGCTCCAAAAAGGAGCTGAGGGCTGTCTTGGTTGGAAGTTGTTTTGATTAATGAGTTGCCTCCTGATTTGTTCCTGCTGTCTCCAAGCTGATTCTGAATCCAAGTTGTAACCTAGTAAAACCACATATTCGTGAGTATGGTCTGTGGATTCGGTGTAACCTACGATGAGTTATCAAGCCCAGCAGAGAAAGAGAGGGCGCCAAAGGAGAATAGTTGCTGCCCGGATTGGGTGAAAGTTTGGAGAGAGGAGTTCTGTCTAACCTCCACTTTATAGGAATCAGCTTTGTCCTGATGCTGATAGTGATTCTCCCTGGCATTAGGCAATTTCTGGTGCCACTATATCTGTCACATGAGAGAACTCATGATTCAGTAATATTGAGTGAAAAAAGTCAGATACATTAAAGTATATATTGTCAGGCTCCATTTATGTGAAACTCAAAAACACCCCGCCTCAAAAAAACCCAACACTCTTGCTGTCAAGTCAATGCTAACTCAGCGACCCTATTGGTCAGACTAGAACTGCCCCATATGGTTTCCATAGCTGTAATCTTTACTGAGCAGACTGCCACAGCCTTCTCCCATGAAGCAGCCACCTGGTGGCTTTGAACTGCTGACCTTTGGGCTAGCAACAGAGCACTTGACCACTACCCCGCCAAGACAATCTGCAACATGGATAGTAGCTATCTTTGCTGGGAGTATTGGCTGTAAGGAAACATGGGGGACACATGCTAGGAACATTCTATATCTTCTGCTTGTGGGCAAGTGTATGGAGAGAGGAGTGGTGCAAATGTTTAATCACTTGTTTACTAGTTGAAAGGTTGGTAGTTCAAACCCACCCAAAGACAATTCAGAAGGCCAACCTGGAGATCCACTTCCGGAGGGCCACAGCCTTGAAGACCCCACGGAGCTGTTCTACTCTGGGCATGTGGGGTCACCAGGTCAGAATCTACTGGATGA